GCACCCTGAACCTCACCTAAGGAAACAAGAGCACTGGTCCACCTGGATGTCTCACCTCTGAAGTGCCCAGACCGAGTCCACACAGGACACGCATGTCCAAATGATTACCAGACATTCAAGGGCTGGGACTTTTTCCCTTTAGGGTTGGTTGGACTTCATGGTGGCAAGAGTGAGTCTGAAGGCACCTGGAAGTCTGTGTGAACGGAAGTTGGGGCGCCATCTGCAGCAGACACTGAGATGACTCAGATGCTTTTTTTTTTTTTCTTTGTCTGTCACCTGCTGCAGATGGAATGAGTTGGCCACATCTGAGCAAATCCGTCTCTAGTACAGGTGCATGAAGTGATGATTCTGTAGTCCAGCAAGGTTGAAATGAGCCCCAAATTTCCTTTAATCCACGGTTTTTACGACACCTTTCCTGTTTTTAGATATGCTTAGATACACAAATACCACAGAGCTTCAGATGCCACAGGACTCAGCCCAGCGATGTGCTGTTCTGTTGGTAGCTTAGGAGCAGCAGGCTCTGACCAAAACCTGGGGAGGTTGCAGGCACCCATCTGGGTTGTGTATTTACATTCCATGATGTTTACACAACAAAGGAATTGCCAAGCACACTCTTCAGAGCAGCAGCTTGGAGCAGGGTGGGCAGGTGCGGCTTCCTTTCTCCTTGTCAGGCCAGTAGGAGGAAGCCGCTCCCCTGACAGAAGTTACTTCATTCCTAACTACCGCTGCCCACGCAGGAAATGTGCAGATACTAAGTAGGCAAGAGCTAGAAGCATCTTTTGATCCTGGGAAGCAGTACACTGATTCTTTGTAGTGCTGGGGCGGGAACCCAGGCCTCTTGCACACTAGGCATGCACTCTACCACTGAGCTACACCCCCAGCCCTATATTGTATTTTATTTAGAGACAGGGTCTCACTGAGCTGCTTAGAGCCTCGCCGTTGCTGAGGCTGGCTTTGAACTCTTGATCATCGTGCCTCAGCCTCCTGAGCTGCTGGGAATCCTCATCTTTTGAGGAGAAACTTGGCTTACATATGATGAACCTCATATCTGTTGTATTTCCAGAGAAAAAGGAGTAGCAAGGCACACCCCAGTCTCCGGACTGCGTCCACTGTTGGGAAGATGAACAGAGCATTGTGCTCTGCCAAAAAGAGGCCTGGCGGGCTGAGGCATGTCTGCAGGAGCAGCCACCACCATCACTTGCAGCTCTTCCCACGATTAAAAAAAAAAAAAAAGCTTGCTTTAGATTTGTTGTGTTTTAAACACGATTCAAGATGATAAAAATGTCTTAGTTAAATCATTTCCTTCTAAGAATTTAAATACAGAAGCAGTGTGAGTCATCACATTTGAGAGTCGATCATGCATCTCTTTGAATTCTATTTGATTTTCAAATAGTATCTAATGTTTAACATTCCCTTCACTATAATTTGGTTACAGAAGTATGATGGACTGTGTAGTATGTTGCATGTGAAACTGTTACTCTAGTAATGGGAAGGCATGATGGAGGCAAGACGGAAGACAGTCTTGAAACCCAACATAAAATGTAGCCATAGGGGCTGGGGTTATGGCTTAGCGGTAGAGCACTCGCCTCCCATGTGCAAGGCCCTGGTTCGATCCTCAGCACCACATAAAAATAAATAAATAAATTAAAAGTTACTGTGTACAATTACAAAAAAGTAAATATTAAAAAAATGGAGCCACGGAAGCGAAATGAGGTGCTTGTGTAATGGAGCACAGCCACAGTGCCGGATTCTCCCTTGGCTGTGAATGTGGTCAGGCTTCTTGAGCTCCACACCAGGTGTGTGTGCGCGGTGCATGGAAGGCCTGCAGAGACGGGACATGTCTGAAGGAGCACAGCTGCCTGAAGATGGTGCCTACTTTCCCTGGGACGCGGAATGTTTCAGAGTATCACCACAACTGGGGGCACCACATGTGCCAGGATCCCTTTTTGCATTCTGGTTGTGGGGAGCAGCAGGCCAGGTGTCCCAGGACAAGGCAGGCCACATGGCCAGGGCATGGCTTCTGTCAGAAGAGTTGTCAGGGAAAACAGAAAGGCCCCGCCATGAGACACAGAGAGTCCAGTGAGAGCGAGGCTGAGGGGCTGAGGGTCCTGGTGCAGGTGTGCCCACCCCAGTCACCAAGATGGTAGGTCTCCAAGCTTCCTCATTCTCCTTGATGGCACACGGGCAAGGACTGTTGACGCTGCTACATCAGAAGTGACGTGAATCAGGCCACAGGTGCACTGTGTTTAATTCCGTGATCAGTGTGAGTTAGAACACTTCTCACACATTGCAAAACACGAGACACGCTGTGTTAGTAAGGCTGCCTAACTTTATTCTCTCTGCCCTTTGTGATCTATCCATCCACTTACTTTCTTCTTAATTGTCATTTTCAGGTCATTGATAAAAAACCTACAAAACACAGACAGTTAGGAAAAAAGATAACATTGAAAAAATATTCTGATATGGAAGATTCAGAGAGAACTTGAGACAGTGTGGGTGGAGTCAGCAAGCACCTGCCTTAAAGGTGAAGCGCAATCAGTGAGCACTGAGCCTGCCTCAGGTACAG